AAAAAAAAAAAAAATCTAAAGAGAAAAATTTCTGCAAAAAAAAAAAAAAAGGAAGCAAAGCACTGGTGGTTTAACAACAGCCTACCCTTTCTTTTGCTGGCAGTTGTTCGGCGACCATCCTTTAGAATTCGATCATATCATATTGTTAGTATGCAGTACTTATGGTTTGTTTTTTTCTTTTTCACTTAGTTTTCAATAATATTGTTGGGCGAACACATGCAACAGACCAATGCATGCGGTGGCCACTATGAAGCAGTTATGGTTTTTTTTGTTTTTTTTTTTTCACTTTTTCTTTTGTTGAAGCCTTGACGGAGATGAGAACAGAAATCCCTTATTGGGACAGTCAAATTCCGTATCGCCCTCGCAGGGGGCACTCGTGACCACGGACATTGTTAAACCGCAAGTACACCACCCAGGCAAAACTTTTAGAGTCAGAAATGAGTCATACTCACCAACGAGCCCAGCTCAGTTGGTAGTAACTTGGTACACCCTGAACTGTTAAAATGCAAACCCAAGTTCAAATCCAGTCACAATGAGATGAACAGAGTAAAATAAATTCTGAATGACCTGGGCCAGTCAGTTCAAAAAGCTGATATCTCGAGGCTGTTGCCCTATTTTTTTTAACAAAGAAAAGAGAAAAGGAGCTGTCCTCGAAAGGTTAGGGCCCTTAGAGGACTTGTGCCGTGGGGCCAGTCTGGGGCTGGGCTGGGGAAGAAACGTTGTCCGCCGTGGGGGGGGGGGGGGAATTACGCCTGGACTGGGGCGAGTTCACTAACTTTTAGCTATGAGTCATTTTTGTTCAGGATAAAAAGGCTCAGCCTCAGATATGTACTCGTGGTTTTAACTGTTGCGGAGCCAGGCTCGCGGGCCCGGTTCAAGTTGGCCGCGGCAGTTCTGGACCGCTAGTGCACTGGCCCAGCCTTGCTGAAAGTGGAATCGTCGCCCATCCGAAACTTTGCGCCTCGGGTCTTCACAGTTGCTGGCGCCGACAGCTAGAAAAGAAAAGAAGTACACCGCTGGCGGTTCGACGAAGCTTGGCGCACAGTGGAGCATCTCCAGCGCTACTAAAAAAAATGAGTTTTTTTAACTTTTTTTGACTTTTTGGACCTAGTGCGGCCAAAATTTTGACAGGTCATGAAATGACAAGCGATTTCATGACACCCTATGTTCCCATCTGGGTAATAATGGGCTTGAGCCGCTGACTCTCTCGGAGTCAACAAGGCCCAGGTGTACTGGTGGTTTAAACCACCAGTATATATATATATATATAGGGTTCAGCCTCCTGATGAGTCGGTGAAACTCCGACGAAACAGTTTGTCACAGCCCCTCGTTTGTTGTCCTCTTCTCTCTTCTCCCTCTCTGCCTACGGTTTACCGTAGGCAGTTCTATTTGACGATATATATATATATATATATATCGTCACAAATAGAACTGCCTACGGTAAACCGTAGGCAGAGAGGGAGAAGAGTGAAGAGGACAACAAACGAGGGGCTGTGACAAACTGTTTCGTCGGAGTTTCACCGACTCATCAGGAGGCTGAACCCTCAACAGTCTGCAGAATCCCCTCACTGATTACACTGTAAATGATAATCTACCTTAACCAAAATCAAAGTAGACTATATATATATATATATATATATATATATAGTCTACTTTTAAGTTAAAACTTCATAAATAGACTTAGTGATTTCATTGAATCACTAAGTCTATTTATGAAGTTTTAACTTATGAATTTTATTCAAAACAATGTTTTTTATTCTTTTTTGAATAATACAAATCCTAACTCAATCCTTTACTCTAGAGTATAGGATTGAGTTAGGATTTGTATTATATTATTCAA